TAAGGCAAAAATGTAATTACCGGTAATTCCAAAAATCTTTWCAGGACCCCACCCTGATTTTTCGGGACCCCACTTTGGGTCTCGACCCCAACTTTGGGAAACGCTATTTTAGACTGTCCAGAAAATGGCTGCCATCTTGAAAACCGCCGTATTCAAAGGTCAAGGGCAAGTTTTTCCAGAGATAGGCCCCCTCACCTATTACTTGCTGGAGTATTCAGATGTGTCATTTTCCCTTTTCTTTCTGAAACAAAAGGGTGTCCTGTGACTTTTGACTCACTCTGGATATATTTGAAGACGTATATTTATTTGACTGTGAATTAGAGCAACCTGTGCACCCTGCTCCTGTTTTTAATAATCCTTGAATTTGTTATATAATCCACCCTGAATAAAAAATAAATGGTTCGAATAATCATTAATTCATCGGGTGAACGACTGCAGCTTTATGGTCGTCATGATGATGTGATGCATGCAGCATGCTCAGCTGAGAGAGAGAAAAAAAAGAGCCTGGAAATGTTTTAATCCAGACTCGACGTAGAGATTCTTCCTAATCCGGCTGGATGCTGTGCTCACAGGAGCCCACAGTGCACCGAGCAGATTACCAGCGTCTGGCCTGTAATGGATAAATGGAACAATAATTCCACCCTCTCCCCTCCACAAGAAGTGTTTATGTGGGATCTGAGCGTTGACTAATGCAATCAGAAATAGTAGCTCTAGCTCTGCGCCGCGATATAATCCTTTAGATTTCATGTGCTAAGATGCTGTGAGTCCTCACGCTGCTCTGAGTATCTTTTAAGCAGCATTTTTTTATTATTATTATCTTTCGACAGCCATATGGTGGATTTTTCTTTTTTTTATTATCGGTACTTTTCTATGTGTGTGGATGGAGTTGGGAAGGACTGATTGTTTGGTTTCCTTCTATAGCAGGTGGCTAAAGGATAATCCAGGTAAAGCCAGTGCAAAAGGGGGGAAGGATGGGCTAAGGGAGGAGGAGGGGAGGATGGAGTGGATGACTAGAGCTAATTCTGGCCTCCTAATCCCAGTCCCATCCACCCTCCCCCTCTTCAAGGAGCAGCTGACGCCCAGGTAGCCGTTATCACTTTAACCTATACCACTTCACAGAGACGGGAAAGAGTGAAAAGGCAGCAGTTTCTGCTTCTTCCTTTTTTTTTTATGCCGGTGTCTCTTGTGTTTGAGCCGGAAACATAACACACCTGTGTGAGTTTGGGTGGAGAATGTAGCTGCAGCCCTCGATCCAGGCCACAGGACAGCACACCAAGATGGGAGAAGCTCAAAAGGTAGGTGACCTGATCTGCTCCAACTGGGCTCATAAAGTCAAATGTGAGCCAGGACGTTTCTTACAGCTCTCACAAGATAATACATGACATACTGTAGTTTGCATATATATATATATATTGTATGCAAATGCAGCTGTCAAGCAGAATGGATTTTAGATTCCTCAGGTTGCGTCACCCCTCCACCACCTTTGATGTGTTTAATCACACAAGCGTTGTCGTTTGTGAAGCAAATGTTCAAAGGCGTGGTGTGTCCTGTGGTTGTGCAACCAGAAAACTAATCATGTTAAACAACATCAGTGTTATTAAATCAATGGAGCTGCTTCTATTCTCAGCTTCAGATTAATTCTTACAGAAGGTTGCCACAAAAGCTGAAAACAGTTGGCATAAGAAGATCTATGGCTCAAACGGAGGCCGTGTTTGTCTTTCCATTGAATAAATTTACCATTTAAATTCAGTCTAACCAACTGGGTGAATGGATTTTCTGCTTGGACTCCTACAGTAAAGAACGATGTCTAACCTATCTTTGCCCTTTTTTTATTCTACTTGGGGGTCATGACCCCTCTCCGGCAGGGCTTACTCTCTGTCATAGAGAAACTGAAGGGATCCTCGGAACAGGAGGTCAGGATAGTTCTTCTGGGACTGGACAACGCCGGAAAGACCACGCTGCTGAAAAGCCTGGCCTCCGAAGACGTGAACACCATCACGCCAACGCAGGTGGGGGGAAGCTGAAACATTCCTTTACGACAACTGGACAGGAAAAGTTCAGCAGAAAGCAGGTTTCAAATGTCGCAGGTCATCTTAGAAGACYTAATGAAGTGATCTTCTATCAGCTTGTTTTCAGCACCTCAGGCTAGGCTAATGGCTAACCAATGGTTCATTTAGAAATAGTTTTTCAGGCTTATGCAACCTTTTTTTTGCCCAAAAACAGCATACTGGTGTGAAAGAATAGCTAATATTAACCTTATTGTTGCTGTTTTTCAAACACACATCTAAGCTACAAGCTAATGTAGCATTCTATCCTACAGGTCATGTTTTTTGTTGCTTTTATGAGCCTAAAAGACAACATAAAATGCTTAGCTAGTCATTAGCCCAGTTCAAACAAAGACTTCTGCTCTTTTCTCTATACTCCATGTTTCATAAGCTGTAAGTGCTGACTATTCCTTTAAAACCCTTCMAGTATGTACGTTTTTGGTAAAAGCAACAGTTTTGATCTTTTAAAGTGGGTTTCTGTGGACAGGTTATGAACGGTAAACATCTTACCTGTTGAAGATAGCTGTTTGGTTGACCAGTTTGTAGGAATAGTTTAGTTTTGACCTGAATAATGAATTGAAATTAGATTTAATAACAGTGCAAACTGTATTTTATACACAACTTCATTACAAGTTTATTTATTTATTTATTTAGTTTTGTTTTTAACATAGAATTCAATAATAGTTTGAAAGCATTGGCTGCTTGCTGTATCACTTCCTGTACAGCCAATGGCACTCCAGGCGGTACTATTATGACATTTTTGCCGAAATAATCGTGTCTTTAAAAAATGCAGTAAGTTTTATATCATTCTGAATCCTTGACGAGATCGGAGTTGTTTCAAGAAATTTATTTGTGTTTTGGGCCTGCTCAAACCAGTACKCAAGATATATATAAAGTCTCATTTTAGCAATAACATTTTTCTCATGTGTCTGTAGGATTTTGCATTAATGCTCATCTTTTTTATGGATAGTTCAAACACAAGTGTTCAGAAATGTTTCATAATGTCCATTCATAAATAACCACCCTGCAGTGATGCAACATCAGCTCATGCAATTATTTTTTTTACTTCATCCTCTCTGCACATTGCAAGGTGGTGGCATTTAGCCAGTGTCCCTTTTTTTTTCATTTGTCTCGCTCTAAAGTCATTATCAAAGCTCTAATGTCATTACCCGACACCCCTTATCTGACTTGTCCGAGAAAAATAATCAATGTCCGTTGTGGATCCCGGACTGGTGAGACAGCTCGTTGTGGGGGAGAGAATGTGGTCCAGGATGAGGTGGTGACAAATCTTAAATCAGACTTGACACATTAGTCCATGCGCTTCACTTGATCCTTCTGGTCTTATCCTGCAGATTTGCTCCTCAGCTGCCTCGTTAGGTTAACGCCGTTATACAACTCTGCCAACTTTAACTCCGAGATGTGTTGAAAACGGGCTGTGGATTAACTCACCGACTCCAAAGCCCCTAAACTGTGAATAACTTTGAACTGTCGCCTGTTTCGTTGTTTTATGAGACCTTTTCTTGTTTAGTGGCAAAGTCTCAAATGAAAGTGTCCATGTATTTTCATTTTTTCTTCAGGGCTTCAACATAAAGAGCGTTGCATCTCATGGCATGAAACTTAATGTTTGGGACATCGGAGGACAGAGGAAGATCAGGCCCTTTTGGAGAAAGTACCTGGAAAACACCGATCTCTTAGTGAGTCATTTTTATGTAGAATTGTAGTTACAGCTATTTTGTTTTTTGACTTTGAAGAGTTTTTACAAACTGTTAAAAGTTTGTTTTCTGTAAGGTCATGCATCAGCTGTGACACATTCAAACTGTCCCCAGTTTCTATCATTTCATGTTGTAAAATAGATTTTTGCTAACAATTCATTCTCCTTCAGAAATTGTGCTGATTGCAAAATTTAGGTAAAAAAAAAATAAAACGTTCCACTTTAAATGAATTGTCTGTAATGTGTTTTGTCTTTTAGATTTATGTTATTGACAGCGCGGACAAGAAGCGGTTTGAGGAAACAGGACTGGTGAGTTCACAAATACATCCTGACAGGAAAAACGTACATTTAAGCATAGTTTACTTTTATTTGTTTTTGTCTTTTAATGCAGATTTTTTTTAGGAAAAATAAACATTTGTTTTGTATTTACATGTATTCAAATTTAATCTAAAATTATACTGAGAAGTTTCAATAAAAAAACAATCATTTGCTAATTGTAATTATGTATTCTTTATATAAGCAATATATTTTGAAAAAAAATCATCATAACTGGGAAGCTTCTATGATC